CACGACTTAAGTTACTTATGTGACTGTCAGTGAATGCAATGAATTGAAAAACTTAAGTTACACCCAAATATCACTGTGGCTAGTACAACGACGAGCAGTGCGAGCATGCCACCGACTGAGTTCCCGTGCATGCGGACATGTCTGGGGGTCTGTACAATGATTGAGTTTGAGATCGGAGCGTGTGGACAAGAAAGGGACACACCAGATGTAGTGGGATGCGAAATGGATGTTCTCGGTGGTGACTGTGGCATGTGAGACATGACCAAAGGTCACAGTGAGTACCACAAAATTGAAAAGAAATGTGATAGGCCAATGTACACACCAAATGAACATTCACCCAAGTGGATGCCATCGAGCTTGGCAGCTGCCAGCTCAAAAACTGTCCCTCAGATCCCAATGAGCCCTGACCTAAAAAGAACCTGGCAAGAGCTCACCAGAGTCAACAGAAGAGTAAGCCCCAGGTCGTTGGTTAGTGGCACATTCGGTTTGGATAACTTGGAGGCAGTTGGGCGGCAGATCCACACGTTGGTGTTCTTGACGAAAGAGTTCAGAAGAAGAGGGTTGAAGGTTGTTGACCGTTGTAGTTGCCGGTGACGGAGTCCAGTGGCATGGTAGTGGTGAAGGATGAAGTCAAGTCGAAGTCGGACAATGTGAAAATACCTTCAATCAATCAGTTGGACTGCCAACAAACAACAAACAAGCAACCCTCTTCCCGGACGACCACCTCATTCTCATTCCTCCTCCTCTCCAGTTACCACTGCTGCCATCCTACCTGCTGAATCTTTGTCAGGGCGCCGTGGCTTATGTAACACCACTTCAAATTCAAACACCTCTTCAAATTTTGGTCGGTGGCAAGTCGGTGGCAAGCGTCGAACGAAGTCCACGCATCGATTTCAGGAGTTCTAATTGACTTCTTTCAGTAGACTCAACTGCAGTCTGCATCTGAGAGCTTGGAAAGGGGACGTCGACGAAGAGGTACAGTTTTGTTTTATCTTGACCTGTGGCACGGAACTGATGACATACCTGAGTCGTGCCAGCAGCCAAACTGAAGTCCATGGACAGAACTTGAGTTTCTTCAGAACTGAAGTTTGTGCGCAGAACTGAAGCCAAAGTAGAACTTGAGTTCCCTGGAGCTTCTGACTCAAGTCGTTATACAATAATTGTATGAACTTTCAAATCTCGACTCCTTTGAACATCTCAAGTTCGTGTGAACTGACAACTTAAGTTCCAATGTATACAGGGAATTATATACCACTACACCAGCAGAACTTAAGTTAGATAGAACTTAAGACTTGAGTCGGTTCCGACCACCTACAACTTAAGTGGAGCTAATAAAGTATTTGCAGGTACGGCACCTATAACTTATCTCGAGAATAGCATTTAACCGGCATCTGACCAGTTGACTCACCGCTCGAATCCAGCACACAAATTTACAATGCCTTCCAAAGGAACTGCTCTTGTAACCGGCGCCGGTAGCTCTGCTGCATCATTCTTTACTGTCAAATCCTGACTTTCTGTTCTCAGCCCGGGGTATAGGCAAGGCTATTGCACTCCGATTAGCCGACGACGGTTTCGATGTTGCGGTGGGTAGTAGCCATCTTCGTCACTTTGCTACTTTGCTTATTTTCACGAAACCTCGTAACTTTGATCGCATTTAGGAAAAGTTTGTTACTTCCCATGATTTTTTGTGAAAGCTCGTCAGGGGAGTAAATTCTAATGAAAGTTCGTGAGCTCACAGTCAGTCACCGTTCATCTGATGTTGAACTTCACATGGCACGTCCACCCTTTCCCTCTGCCACCACCACGACCGTTGCGCCTGCGCAAGGAATTCGCAAGATTGCCCGCAATGCGACATCGAAGACAGAGCTTCCATCGGTGGTGGGTATATGCCACTCCTTTCTATACTGCATACACAAAACTTGTATCATGACAAGAGCAGTATCAATGTTTCCCTCACCCGAAATTATGCAGGAATAGGACGGGTGATTTTTATTCAGCATGGTAAGGCCACTTCTCCACGGCTTGCGTGATGCACGTATGTACCTAGGCAAACGCGGCGCCAGGCGCATAGGGCTGGAATTGGACATGTGGACACCGCGGGCACCGGTGTCACGCTTGAATCAATTCCTTCTGCGCATCACATTGCACTGCATCGCGGCTGGAGACTCCGTTGTGCGGGTGACTTGGCAACAACGTGCGTCAGGGAGCCGTCTTCTACTCTGTATTCCGGGAATTCCTGGGACCAGCATTTGTGATTCGGACCGTGCCGTGTAATGATACCTACCTAATACCTACCTACCACATAGGAATGGTTGCACCTCAACACCTTCGCTGATCAATGGCCGCCGTAGCATCCGCGCTAAGTAATCATAATCATGTACTCACCTACCTCACATATTTTCGCACCTACCTGTATTTCAGTGCGCAATGGCATATAATCCCCTTGAAAACATAAAATTTTATCTGACTCCCCCACTAGTAGTTGACGGAGGAGGTTCAATGTACATCAAGTGACAAAATTTCAATAGGCTAGCGAGAAGTGATGAGCTTTGGCTGAAATTACGTTGAACTCACGAACATTCATTGAATGCCATCAAACTAACAAACTTACACCGATTTAACCGAAGTAACGAAGTGACGAGTTTGGCACGGACTCCGTCTGAAGGTGCTGATCCCATCCGAAAGACACTGATGGCACATGAGAACCGAGCAAAGACAGCACGCCATCACCGACACATCTCAAAGGCCTTGTTTGTGCAACATCCATGCTTGGACGGTTGGACCCATCCATCAAATCATCGAATGTTGGCCACGATGGCACAAAAAGTTCATTTAAAATCAGGGGAAAATACTGAGGTGCAGGTCGTGTACTAAGGTACATGATCCGAGAGAATCAAACGAATACGGGCGACGGATCGGTGCAGAAATCGTTTTTACTACATTCTTGATCCACACCGCACATGATATGCTGCACCCACATCGTGCTGCGTCATCCACAAGGTGTACGCACACACATCAAGATGGGTGGGGCCACGGGTCAAGAAGGTCGGGGCCGCACGCAGGACGCAGGGAAGACGGGCGGGGACGAGGTCTAGGGCTGCCACCCGGCCGGGCAGGGGCTGTTGGTGATTGATCAATGTGAACTTGTGCGGGGGTTGTATTGTGACACATCAGAGACCAGGCATACTTAGCCACAGGTCAAATACTTTATTAACTCCTCTTAAGTTCTAAGTGGTCCCCATCCCAATAAACTTAAAAGTTCTCGTAGATCTTAAGTTTTGTTAGTATAGCCTATATAGTGTATATAACCTACATACCTGCTAAATTGACATACAATCTTCAACTCAAGTTCCTCTGGACATCTTAAGTTCCAGCTCGACTTAAGTTCAGCCAATAACTCAAGCTCCCATCATATGAGACTGAAAGAAATAAGTATTCAACTACTTAGCTTCTGGGTCAGGAATTAAGCAGCAAAGAGCAGAAAAAAATTGGAAGGAGAAAGAAAAGCTTATGGCAAGATTCACCATTCGGACACGGGGAGCCGAACCCCGGACTGCGGGTAACATTTTATGATCACGAGAGATGTAAAAGGCCCCCGGTGTTCCATACACCACGTCCGACTATTATGCTTGTAGTTTCCCAGACTAACAAGAATGCACCAGAGAGAAGTCTTGTACTGTGGTAATTCAACCATAGCGTTGATTTGATCAGCTGGACACAAGCTACATCTCCCACAAATTCGTAATTTTGTACATCGGAGAAAACTATGAACAGGGATTAGACCTGCGCTGGTGTAGAAAAAGAGAGAAAGATGCTGGGATTGGAGTAAAAAATGTTACGATAGAAGTTAATTCGGACAAAGGGAGTCGACCCTGGACTGTGATTCGCATTTTCTATACCTGGAAATGAAGCCTCAGTATTCCATTCACTACATCCGATTATTATGATTGTGGATTCCCATACTAAGCGAGGATCCATGAGGGAGTGAGGCAATTAGAACGTGGCCAACTGGAAGATTGAGCAGCTGGACGTAAACTGCATGCAGCTCCCACGAATTAAGCTTGTAGGTCTGAGAAACCATGTAAATGAGAATGGAAGGGACGAGAGTCGCGCGAATGTTGCAAAATAAATAAATTGCACTCAACGGCTCCGAACATATTCGGAGCCATTGCAAGGTCATTTGGTTGTGAGTGGCTTGTGCAGCACAGATTTCAGGTTCTTGAGACCACTTCCAAGCCACACCGTGGCTCTCAAGGTTCCCCGTGCCAAATGGTCTTGCAGTCGGTCGCAAGGTGCAGAAAGCATGCTACCAGAAATAATAAAAGAATTACCGCTGCTACCACATTCTCTTAGTATATCTACTATCTACTATCTACTATTCAAAGGTACCAATGCGATTGATACACAAGTAAATAAGTAAGTACTGTAATAAGTGCAAGTCTAAGAGACACTACTAAGAGTCGTTCGACAAAGTATTCAACCACACATGTGTGTGTGTAAGTACATGTTTTGAAGGACATGAACTGAGTTATGTACCTTGCTCGAGCCACCGGGTTGACGTTCCACCCAGCTCCACACCTCTCGGCAATCCGCAGATAACCCCAGCGAGCAAGAGACATGTATCCGATATGTATCTGTATATAAATAATATTGACCAAATGTCTCTGTGTCACTCCAGGTACTGGTTAGTGGGAAGATAAAAATTGTCTCCGAGTCATCTGAAGACTTGCCAAGTCCTGGGTGCCTTGTCATGGCTTGTGACTCCTTGCGAGTCACCCTAGCGTGCCTTGTCACGGCTTGGGACTCCTTGCGAGTCTTTACATATCTAGTAACGGCTTGTGAGAGACTCGAAGGCATAGCTGAGTGGATTGCAACCGCCCGTAAGCCGTCTCAAGGCCACAAGTTGATTCAAGCCCTTGCAAGTAATTTGACTTTTTTCCGACAAACGCAGAAAGAAAAAGACCCCCGGAGCGTAGTAAAAAACGACGACAGACGGCAAATTCGGACGCGGGGAGTCGAACCCCGGACTGAGGGTGGCCTTACGCTTTCATGGTCGAAAGAGCCTGCTGTGTACCATACACCACGTCCGATGTATTGAGTTGGTGAGTCCTGGAATAAACCAGCATCTGCATCGAGATCGCACATCAGATAGCGAGCCAAGGAGTGGAACAAAAATATTTTTACCAACTCTGTATTCGGACGCGGGGAATCGAACCCCGAACTGCCAGATAACGAATGCGTCTAATGTTACTCTCCACTAGGTCTGACGGTGTTCCATACACCACGTCCGATGATTTTATGCTGATTCCCGACCGATGAATGAGAACAAAATAAAGGAGCTGTGTGTACTGTTTCCCTCGGTGTCGGTAGAATACTAACAATAGGTTGAACACCGGTCGTAGCGCCATTTTGGAGAGGTGGCGAGAACGTGGATAGATGCTCCGATACTAAGAGTTGTTCGCTGTTTCTAGAGAGAAAAGGACCCCGGCAGCGGAGTAAAAACGTTAGGATAGACAGCAAATTCGGACGTGGGGAGTCGAACCCCGGACTGCGAGTGGCCTTACGCTTTCATGGTCGAAAGAGCCTGCTATGTACCATACACCACATCCGATGTAATGACTTGGTGAGTCCTAGAATAAACCAGCATCTGCATCGATACGACCGTGCCGCAAATCAGAGAGCGAGCCGAGGAGTGGAACAAAAAGAATTCCATGAACCCAACTCAAAATTCGCGCGGGGAGTCGAACCCCGAACTGCCAGGTAACGAGGTCGCCCACCAAGCAAGGCTGGCGGTGTTCCCTACACCACGTCCGATGTATTGGCTTGGTGAGCCTTGGAATAAACCAGCATCTGCATCGAGATCACAAATCAGAGAGCGAGTCGAGGAGTGGAACAAAAAGAATTCCATGAACCCAACTCAAAATTCGGACGCGGGGAGTCGAACCCCGAGCTGCCAGTTAATGAATGGAGTGGCATCAAGAAGGCTGGCGGTGTTCCCTACACCACGTCCGATGTATTATTGACTTGGTGAGCCTTGGAATAAACGAGCATCTGCATTGAGATACGCCCGTGCCGCAAATCAGAGAGCGAGCAGAGGAGTGGAACAAAAAGTCTGCCGTCGATTCATTCGGACGCGGGGAATCGAACCCCGAACTGCCAGGTAACGAGGTCGCCCACCAAGCATGGATGGCGGTGTTCCCTACACCACGCCCGATGTATGGGCTTGGTCAGTCCTGGAATAAACCAGCATCTACATCAGATATGACCGTGCCGCAAATCAGAGAGCGAGCCGAGGAGTGGAACAAAAGGTATTCCATCAACTCATTCGGACGCGGGGAGTCGAACCCCGAGCTGCCAGTTAGGAATTGGTGCGGCATTAAGAAGGCTGGCGGTGCTCACCACGTCCGATTATTCTGTAAGTAAATTCCTGGGTGATGAACGAGAAAAATGACAGAAATGAAGAAGGCGGGGTGTGCACCTTCGCACCCATGGGCTGAAAAAACGTTACCGAAAGTTGAACATTGATCGTAGCGGCAGCTGGAGGGGTGACGAGGACATGCATATGGTCCTGGATTGACACAGCATCATAAATTCGGGCGTCAAGTCGTGAAATTCAGGAGATATGATCCAGACAGGCGAGATAGGAACAAGTACACAAGTGATTGATTATTACAGTGATTCAAGTACAGATGATGCGATAGGACCGCTTCCCATCGGATGGAGTTTGTGGGACGAAGAACCTGCCGCCGAGCTGATGAAGTGATGCATCTGGACCACTAGATAAGGACCACGCAGCAGCGCGACGATACGCAGAGAAGCCGTGGAGTTATGGGTGCGAATTAAAACCGGGAGGGCCATCTAGATCTACACCCAGTGTCCGCGCCCCGCGAGGATGCCAACAACGAGCACACACCCGGCCGCGCGCGCGAGAGCAAGCAGGATATTGCGTGTTTCGAGGAAGCTGCGTAGCGTTTCCTTCGTATCGGGGTCGGCAGATTCATCCGTATCGAGATCGGAATTATTCCACGGCGATTTCTCGTTAGATGTACGGGTTCGGAGGGATTGGAGGTCGAGGACACTGCGTAGAGCGGCCGCGGGAAATGCGTAATCTTCGTCGTTCGGGGAGCTGGAGGAGGAGGATGCAGAGAGGGACGCATACGAGGACGAGGATGTGGAAGAGGATGGGGAGAGCGCAGGGGTGGATACGGATGCAGGCGAGTCGGAGCGACATGCGTGGCCGTGGAGCCGAGCACTGATGTGCTCGGCGCAGAAGATCGCCCCGCAACAGCGCGTGCGCGTGGGCGCCTGAGCATGCTCGAAGCTGGCCCAAAAATAATCCATCAGTTCCAATTCAGTGGTCGAAAGTCAGACGTGAAGGAGACACACCAAATCCCACAATCTCCCTCCTCTCCACGGCCCTGTACACCCGCGCGCCTCACAGGGTCGATGTGCAGTCGGAGCTTGGATGCTCTTCGCGATAACGCGGGCGTGGGACACGCAGACCCGGTGTCGGCTCCAAGATTGAGCGAGTACGCCATGTATTCATTCTCGTCGATATACATGCTGTCGTCGGGGAAGCGCCCGTCCTCGTCCACGAAATATTGCGAGGAGTCCATTGCGACGTTGAGGCCTAGGAGGGGTTAACGCGGCATGCCAGCGTGCCAGCGAGGCGTCGTACCTTCAAGTTTCGCGTTTTTCAAGGAAATGGGGGGGTGGGGGGCGGAGTGGTGGTGGTATGAGAGAGTGAGGGAGGGTGGTGTCGGATTGAATTCGCTAATATAGAAATTGGGGAGGAAGGACGTGGTGGTGGTATAAGAGAGAGCGGGATGTAAGCGACGTGGCAATGGCATGTGAAATTCAGGGGTGCGGAGTCACGGTGCTGGTCACGTCACGGTCCAAGCGAGGGATTTCTTCTGATCCGCATGCTCCGTTGTGGAGCTAATCTGTTCTCCGTGTTCTCGAAGGCGTTCGGCTGCTATCGCCATGCTAAGAAGGGCGTGGACCATATGCAGAGAAGTCCTCGACCGGGCTGTATAAGTGCCGGAGGTCGCTGGGCAGTTTGCGAGCCAGTCAACTACCATTCGGTAACTGATTAAATTAAAACCTGTCAGTTTGCTGCGGAAGCAGATGGGATCCACACGGACCCACTCCTTGCAACCTATGTTCCCTATTCAAGCCACAACGCAATGACGAGCTAAATAGACCCGGCCATTGTGTCGAGCAGTGGAACCGGGGGGGAAAGGAGTGGGGTGGTACTCACCGCAGTACGCGGTGACGGATCGTCCGGAATGGTTCGGACCCGAGTGGGCATGATTTAGACACCGCCTGCCACAAAAAATATCTTTTTAACCTCTGCCATTCGGACGCGGGTACTCGAACCCCGAGCTTCGAGCATGCTGAGATAGTCAGCAAACCCACACTTGCTGGCGGTGTTCTGTACACCACGTCCGATTCTTTGGCGTGGTGCTTCGCACAGTAAACCACCATCTCGACTGATCGTACTAAGCTGTGAGGTGAACTTGGAGTGACGATTGAAATGTTTCACCGGCAGAAGGATGTGCCACCAAGAACACGGCGGTAAATGCTGGAATGTAAGAGCGCATTTCAGACTCTGTTCCTGCTAAAATAACAGCAGCCTGTAACCTATGCGGTGCAATAAAAAGTCTTACAAGTAACAAGTCCCAATAGCATTGGGACGCGGGGAGTCGAACCCCGGACTGCGGGTCGTGTTTGGCTCTGCGTCACCGTACAGATAGGCCCGCGGTGTTCCACACACTACGTCCGAGTAGCATGCCTGTGAGGTTCCAGTATGAGACCAGTTGGGCGGGAATTAATTGCCACGACCACACACGTCATAAGCGAGAGCGAACTAAATATTAGGAAGCCCCGAGCCAGGTGGAATAAAAAAGAGACGGATCAATTCGAGTTATTCTGACGCGGGGAGTCAAACCCCGGACTGCCAGCATCCTATAATGGAAAGTCATTCGATAAGAATGCCGGCGGTGTTCCGTACACCATGTCTGATCTATTGTGCTGGTGAGTCCTATAATGAATCAGCATCTGGATTGATGGACATCCCACCACCCTGTAAACTTCCAATGCAAATTAGAGAGCGAGCCGAAGAGAGGAAAAAAAGAACTACATCGGGAACTTCCCACTCGGATGCGGGGATTGGAACCCCGCACGACGGGTAGCCCGCCTGCAGCTTAACAGGCCCCGCTGCGTTGCGTACACCACGTCCGCTTTATTACCTCTCCAGTTCCTGGACCATGGACGCGATAAAAAAGACGAGAAGTGGACAATGAACTGCAAGAAGGAGACGCCCTCGCCGGATACGTGAACCCCGCAGTGCTGAACTCAACAGCCAGCTCGTGAAGTTGAATCCGCTCATTCCTGATGAGAAGTATACAGTGGTTTTGAGCAAATCCAACTGCGGTGGGATGCGCCAGAGCATCCGGATCGAGTAAAGTAGAGGACGGCGAGGAACCCGAGGAACGTGTTGGGATTCTGGAGCCGGGAGCGAGAGTTGCGTCAGGCAACTGCCTGCAGCGTCCGACCGATTTCTTGTGTGATTTTTACCCGCTTGAGACGCGATTAACCAGGCCACTCAGCGTCAATGATGCCGAACAGGTTTCAGGCAGTACTCATCTCCCCATGTAAGGCAAAGCAAAGGGCCGAAAAGAGATGGGAGAACAAGAAGAGGTGCCACAGGTACCGGGCATCCGGTTGATCCGGACTCGACACAGCCACCCTGCCATGTCGTCTGGAAGCGGGTTTTCTTCTCGTTATTCATGATTCAACACGCTTGCTAGCCGCACCCGATATACGACCAGCGCCGCCTCTTACCCCTCGCTGCTCGGTGTCAACCCCAGTATTTCCGCGCCGGATACAGCCACATCGCATTGCTTCCCTGCGCCCAGCCGCCTCTGCTTCCCTAGCTCTCCGGCACCATTTCCGTGCTTGTTACCGCCCCTGCGGCAACGACGTGCCATCGCGGATGAGTGTGCACCATCTCCCTTCCCTGCATTGCATCTTTTCCTCCCAAGTTCTCGTTAGTCATCCCCCAATTATTCTCGTGCGTCTATCTTATGTCTTGCGCGTCGTGTTGCTTTTTAGCGTACCTCCTGCCAGCGCATTGAACATATTTTGGCTTCTCCTCTTCTGAAGCGACGGACTGATCCCGCGACGCGCCAATTTAGCTGCGTGCAAGGGTCTAACTTGCTTCTCCCGCAGCGTTGATTTGGTATGCATTCTCGCACTTTGCAAGTCTGAGAGGAGAACTCGACTTGTGCGTGATCGATGCCAGTAATTGGTCCAGCAGCGAGTCCATCTCCTCCATTTCACTTTGCTTGTCGGGATCCGTGGATAGGTATTTTTTGGGGGTGGTTGACGGGTTCGTTCGCTGCTCCACGACTCCCAGCATCACTGAAATTCCATCTGATTTGAGGTATTTTAAGTCCTGACACGAATCTCCACCTGACTTTGCGGACTCCCGCCCGAACTGTGAATAGACCTTCAAGCTCATCTGCCGGTAGTGTGGCGCTCGGCAAGCCATGCCGAAGGGCCAAATTTGACGGTGACGGAACAAAAGGATGTCCTGGGACAAACGAATGATACCCACTCCACCTGATCTGATGGAGGAGAGGAAGCAGACTCGGACCTCCGTGGTTAAAACAAGACTAGGTGTATTATTAACATTAAGAATCTACTCGACATGAGGATGCAAGGCGACTATTGCGATATGATTATAATGATACAGTAGTCCCAGATATATTGTGGTGAATTTGAAGGAGTGATTGCGACGAAGATTTTCTCACTACACCAACCTGTGGGAGGAGCAGGAAAATATACCTGTACCCGTGACATTATTTGTGATTGAAATATCAGAGAACCTGATGCAAATGAGATGCATCATGAGGATGCTGATGCTGGGAAGATACACACAAGAGGCTTCATCTCTTCCGCCGCTTTGAAGATGCCTCCCAAACTCATGGTCACCGAACTATAGTTAA